CCCCCCCACCAGCCTGTCCCCCTCGGGGAGACAGACACGCCGTACCCTACCCCCTTGCGGTGCGTCGGTGCGGTCTGGGAGACCACCCTCACCGCCCTCACCACCCTCACGATGCCCGATGGAGAGGGTCCAAGGAATGCGGTAGATTTCGCGGGTAGATTAGACGTGTACGTGCGGGAGGGCCGGGCCAGAAGGAGGGGGTGAGGATGAGGACGAGACCCGGTTGTGGTGGGGGACATCGCTGTCTGTACCAATACGACGGCACCGCGCTGTCGCCGTGCGCCGCCGCCTCAAAGTAATTTTTCGCCCGTCCGTCCTTCACCTCAAATAGGTTTAGCATGTTATTGCCTTTGGAGAGTCAAAGCGGGTGTAGAGAGGAAAGGGGGAAAAGGAAGGGGGGGGGGACAAAAGGAAAAAGGGTGCGGGTTTCCTGGAGACGCGGAGCGGGAGGGCGCGAGACACACGGAGGCGGTAACCTTTATTTACGTTTCAACAAACTTTGCACGTCCTCGAGCCTCGAGCGCGCACCGGCTCTCGAAACACGCGTCGGGGAAAATACTAACTTTTATCCAATTTGGGCGCCCCGAGCCCCGAGCGGATCGACGCCTCCGACTCGTCTCCGGGCCAGGCCTGCTCCCGCCTGAAGCCACCGTTGTTGTGCTCCAGGTGCACTCCGCCAACAACCTGCTGCTGCTGCACCTGGGGGTGGTGGACGTGTGCGTGGGGGCCGTGCTGGGCGTGCTGCTGGTGTGCAAGGGCGGCGCGGGCCACGATGTGCCGCGCGCCCCGCCCTGCTCGCCCGCGGGCTTCCTGCTGTCGCTGCTGCACCCGCTGGCGCTCTGGACCCTGTGCGGCCTCCACACTGACCGCTACTTTGCCATCTCCACGCCGCTGCACTACGGCGCAAAGGTTCAAATTTACTTTTAACATTTGTCGATTGATAAATTTGTGTTTATGTTTTTTGTTATTTGGTGTACTTGTTGAATTTGCTGTTTAATAACTATGTTTTCTCCTGGTCAGGTGAGCACACGCAAGGTGCTGTGGGGGCTGGGCGTGTCCTGGCTGGGCTCGCTGCTGCTGGCGCTGCTTGCGCTGCTGCCCGGCTGCGCGCCCGAACCACAACGCGCCGCGGGGGCGGGGCTCGGCGCCGACCTCGCGCCCGCCGACGCCCCTGACGCGGCGCCCGCCCCCGCCCCCTGGAGCGCGCCGTGGCCCGCCCCCTGGGGGCCCGTGGCTCACGCGGGCATCTACATCACAGCCACGTTGCTCCTGCCAGCCACCATCGTGCTCGTGTGTAACCTCAAGGTCAGAGCGCGGGTGTCCACGACAAGAGGACAGCCAGTGTGTTTGGCCTCCAACCAACCTGGTCCTGTGCCCGTAGGTGCTTATGATCGCCCGCCACCATCGGCACCGCATCGCCTCCGCCATCTTCGAGGTGACGCTCTCCGCCCAGGTGACCATCACGCACCAGCGCAACCCCTTCGTGCCGCTGGTGGGCGGCGCCCTGGGGCCGCGCCCCGAGCAGAGCCCCCCGGCGCCCGGGATCAGCCCCGGGGCCGCTGCGGCGGTGGCGGCCGCGGCCGCCGCCAAGTTCCGGAGCCGCTCCGCACTCTGTCCCGTGCTGCAGGTGAGGGAGTCAAGTATGAAAATAAAAACAAATTATCATCTCAAAGCGCGACGAAGCGCTACCAACGGATTTGCTTTGATCTGCTTGCAGCTGCTGGGCTCGCTGGTGCTGCTGTACTTCCCGTACTACGGGCTGCTGCTGTGGGACGCGCTGGCCGCCAGCCACGCGGTGCGCGCGCCGAACCCGCACTTCTCCACCATCGCCATGTGCCTCATCACGTGCAGCCCGCCCGTCAACGGCCTGCTCTACGGCGTCAAGAACAAGTCGCTGCGCAAGACGATCCAGAACTACTGGCGCAAGCAGATGTCCAAGAGCGAGGTGAACCAGGAGATCCAGGCGCGCACGCCGTCCACGTGCGGCTCCCGGCGCCCGTCCCTCACCCCGGCGGGCGCGAGCGGCGTGGCCGGCGCCCTGGCGGGCCTCGGCGGGGCGGGCGGCGGCAGCGGCAGGGGCTCGTCCACGCTGCAGCGCCGCCTGTCCGAGATCGTGCTCGAGCCGCTGCGCTCTTCCGTCAGCGTCGGCTCGGCCTCGCCGCGGGGCTCCAAGTTCCAGAGGATCGCGTCGGACCTCGTGTGGCGGCCGTGGCGGCCCCGGCACTGGCTGCTGGGCCGCTCGCTCAGCAGCATCGAGCAGCACGGCCTGCAGCGCTCGCGCTCCCTCAAGGACGGCTGGAACCACAGCTCCAACACCCTGCAGGTGCGACCCAGGTTCAGGTGTCCCCACAATGCAAGCTCCCCATGATGAGGCGCCCGAGCAGGCCCGAGCTCTGTGTGGGGCGCTCAGGGCGGGCCGCCAGCTCAACACAGCTGCATGGCGGGCTGGCCTAACCAGCGCGTCGCAGGCGTTCTCAGAGCCGTGCGCTTGGCTTACGCTCTGTGAGCAAAGGCGAATTTCACAAATATATTTGAAAGTGCGGCGGGGGGGGGGGGTATCGCCTATTGCATCCTCGCTTCGTCGGGTAGGGGCGCCTTAGAGAACGTGCGTCGTGCGTAGTGGTAGCGCCTTTCGAGTTTCTCCACTTCCCGTCCGGGACGCGCTCAGCGCTCACCGCAAACTGTCTCTGTTCCAGATCCCGAGTGTAACAAGCAACGGCGATCTCGCAGCGGGGGTCGGAGCCCACCCCTGGTCCTCGCTGCGCGGCGGCAGTGTGGGCAGCCTCGCTGGCGGCGCGGGGGGCGGAGGGGTCGGGGGCGGCGCGGGCGGTGGCGCAGGGGGCAGCCTGTTCGTGCAGCGCGTGCTGGGCCATTGCCACAACAAGACCCTCACGCCGCGCCACTCGCCCTCGCTGCTCCTGGCGTCCGTGACCCGCCGCTCGCCAAGGATCCTCATCACCAGAGCCTTCTCGGAGGAGAGTGAGAGCGGGCCGCCCGCCACGCCAGTCGCCCCCATGCACCACTCCAACTCCGCGTCCGCCCTCGTGACGGAGGGCCACGTCAACGGCCACGCCCGGCGCTGGCGCCGCATCCGGTACCGCGACGAGGACGAGGAGGCCGTCGAGCCCCTGAGCGCGCTCAGCGGCCACCTGAGCGACGAGTCCAGCTCCCCGTCCGAGCATCACCCGCTCAACGGCCCGCTCCACGCCGGCCGGGGTGACCTCTCGCCCTGCAGCGACGGCGAGGAGCGGGCGCTGCTCTTCAGCCCGGCCTCCACCTCCGCCTGCAGCCCCGTCAGCTCCCCGGAGCCCGGCGAGGACCCTGACCACCAGCTGGCATTCCCTTAACCACAGCCGTGGTTTACTTTGTGCTAAATGTATTTTTGGTCTGGCAGTGAAGTGCACAACTTGTCCCCTGTGGAACGCTATACCTCACCTCGTAAAACAGATTTGGGAATGCCTGAGACTCTTGTAGTTTGTTTGGGAGGATTTTAGTGCAATAAGGCCATGACCTGTTCCTTTGTGATTTCTTTACTGTGGACACGGATATTATTGTATGTACCTGAATTATAAGAATGTATGTATATCAAGTTAAATAAAATAAAAACTTTATGGTGTGGTTTATTGATGTTAGAGTAAATGTATTGCTCAGCAGATGTTTCTAGTATTAAATTAAAAAGGAGAAAGTCAAGAACATGTGTGTAATACTCATATCATAAAACACCACTTGATGTTTAGCTTCGGGCCCAGTGTAGAAAATATTTCTTGTTTGGGAATAGTGATGCTTACAAAACTAGCAGCTAGAAAATTTAAGAACTTTAAAGAAAATTATTCTCTTTATGAGACCACATGTATGTGCTGCTTCTTGGCCATCTGATTGCTTCATTCTTAAAATCTTTACAGACTCCAATGAGATATGCTATCATGAGACACTAATTTTAAAATATATACCAGCGATGAAAGTGGATAAATTACCCTTAAAGATCAATTCAAACTATTATGGCAACAATATTTCTTTGTATCGTTTACCATGTTGACTCGGATCGGCTGTGTGGCCTTTAGTATGTGCCATGTAATGTAATACAATCAACCTCAAGATATAACATTTAAGAGTCCCATCTGCTTTTGACAATCTAAACCTTAAATACAGACACAAGTCAAAGGGCTAAATAAGGTTGCATCCCTTTGCAAACTTAATTTTAAGAAAAATAATATTCGTCATTGATGATGTTTGCTTAAGTGTTTACTGCTTCCTCTAGTGCTGGACAATAGCTATAGAAGCAGAGGGAACAATTGAATCATAGGATGCAGGAGATATATTTGTCAAAGTCAAACACATCACGGGACATTTGTTCTGAGTAAGAAGTAATTCCACTGACAATGTATTTCCATTTTTCTGCATTTGCCTGGACTAGCTCATGAGTGAGTGAGAGATATTTTCATTCAGTGAATTGTATCATTATTCCTGATTATTTATTTTTGTTCCTGTGATGAAAAGTTTATTTTTAAGGTAGTGAGAGTTATATCAGATGTTTTAATGTGAGTGTGTATGGGCATAAAAAAATGTCTTTCAACTACTGCACTGCTGTAGAAAATCTGGAAATATTTCTGTATCAAAATATTAATAAATGTGTCAGTAATGTCATGTGAGAGGGGAAAAAAGATGATTTGATTAATGACAGAGAATATATATAAAGTATATTACTATCCAAACTCGAGCCGGAATACGATCACACACAAAATATGAGTGTCGGGACTTACCATAGTTGTGTTCAAACGACGGACATCATTCCACTTCATAGTACGTTACTTGAAAAGAATGAAGTGAAAATCTAACGAGATTGAAATAGACCATTTCACCCCAGCGCTTTTCGACCTCTCGAAGAACAAAAATACCGGAAGTCGTGCAGTATATGGAACGTTCCTAGCCGTTAAACACGTTAGATTGAAGCGGTGTGTGTCGTAATAACATATTTTTGACTAAATTTAGGACTGAGAAGAGTAGATTGTCGGTTGCATTGACGACAAAACCTCTATTTCATAAGACACTTTACCCTGACTTCCGGTATTTTTGTTCTTCGAGAGGTCGAAAAGCGCTCGGGTGAAATGGTCTATTGAACGGCAAGCGGCTGGGCTTGGAACAAACCGCGAACAAAACAAACACGTCAACACCACACTTCACATCCGGTTGGTACTGATCTCAGACTATAATGTCGAAGTACGTCCGTTTCTTTCTGGGTCGCACAAAGCCCCGCGATTTTTTGTAGAATTATACTTAACCAACTAAATAGCGAATGTCCGGACGTAAAAATAAAATTCACAAGTCAAAAACCATGAAATGTGAACTTGAAATTTTTCATACTCGAGCAGAGCGGGCTGCTTGTTTATCTCTGCCTTAAAGCACGAACGGCTGCTGCAATCAAAATGGCGAATTCATTACCACCGCAACACGAATTGGTAAGTTTTGTTAAATTTACGCTATATTTTAAGCCGATTTGATATATTGCAAGATCATTTGATAGACACTTATTCTTCTAACTATCTGGAAGCATCATAGTTATCAATTTGGGCGCTAATATGTCATTGATTGACGCCTGGTAGTGTCCCCACGTAGGCCATCATTTGTTTGACAGCTATGAGTGCTACGCCCTAAGGGTTTTGTGTGGACATTAATTCTGGTTTTATGTGCAATATGTAACTGCCCACATCTTCCAAGACGACAATGGTATTATTTGACGTATTTAGAGACTTTCAACGAACTGTACTTTCGCCTGTCATTTCGGCTCATTATCCTTGGCAATGTTTACTTAACCTCTACATGGTTTCCTATTTTAACTATTTCCAATTCTATTATACATTCCATTCTTATTGTGATGCTCTGAAATAGTCCTTTTTTTTGTTACTAGTTTTGAGAAGAATTTGTCATTTAACTTTGAACTCATTGAGCCTGAGACAAGTATATCTGTCATTCGTCAGACAGGATATACGGAATTGAAGTCCGTCCTTAGAAATTGAGGGCTGTTTCATAGATGCTCTGCTTTGCCCTTTCGGCTTTTAAAACAATGTTGGCCTTAAGTCTGCATTAGTTACAGTTTCATTGAGGATATAGTTAAGACCAAAAGTATCTGCCTTCTATAGTAAAAACTCAGCAAACTTAATTGTTTGAAAGGTCACTTATAGAGTGATTTCCTGCAGCTGTAGTTTTAACCATCAAACATATATCGCTCATATTTATCCCTTCAGTCCAAATAGATAATTGCTTGCAAGTTATTTTATTGTAGCCTCACAGTATGAACTGATCAGATTTTTATACTCTTGCACCAAGTCAATGAACACATTCATTTGCACAAATGCAAGTTTTAATTTTAATAATGCATTGACATTTCTTTTACCTGGAGTGTGTCTTAAGCAATTTATGTTCACGTTTGTTGGTGCTGTATTGAACTGTATTGAAGTTAATTTGATGTGTTGCTGATATTTTGATTCATAAACAGACATTTAGAAAAAACTAAAAACATTTATTCGCAGTTACAACAGTTCGGGAAAATATTTTTGACGAACAAAACACACGCAAATTTCTATATATTTTGATTGACTTTTTTCAAATATTATCTTATCTGTTCCTCCTCCTACATTTTATATTCTTGTCAAAACACAATGTTGACCAAAATGACCTGTGTACAGATGTGTCTGGTGGAGTGTCTCGGTGTTCTCTAAGAGGAGGCAGGGGCCATCATTCAACGTAAGATCTATAGATGTGCACTCTGTAGTTAATTGCTTCATGCCCTCACGAGTTACCTACCAAGGCTGTTTTATTGCTCCACGTTTATCCAGCTGCAGCTTAAATACATGGGTGCCTTTCAAATTTTGATTATATGTGTGATAATGTCTTGTTTTTAATAGCATACTAACTAAATGACAGACACTGATTGTGAAATCTTTGAAAGTTTGTTTTTCTTTCATAGGGGAAGGGGCAGGGGCAAACAGAATTGGTGTATGGAATATTCAAAGGCTAATTTTTTATGCACCAGCCTAGCCACTGCTTTGTGCCACTGCACGCTGCTGTTGTACAGTTACCAAATTTGGTAATAAACATGATCCCTGATGACAATTTAATTTTTCTAACACACTTTTCAGAATATTTAATCTTTTTTTTTACTGTTTTAACAATTAAACAAAATTAGTTAAAATTTATGGAATGGACGGTTTGATTAGATCTAATACATGCATTAATTTAATTTTACTTTGCACTGTACACTGTAGCTATTTTAACAATATAAAGTTACAGCCCCCAATGATAATAAAGAATTACATAATTTACAGAGCTACTGTACAGAACTTTTGGTTAAATGGGATTAAAAGTCAATCTTCTAGTTAGGTTTTGGGGATGATAAACAAATTCCTTCCTTGTTGTAACTTTTTTAGATGTAGGATTTTCAATAGAACCTACCTTTACCTTACTGTGAGTAGAGAAAAATGTGTGCATGACTTCAAAAAATTGTTTTTATTTTTATTTTTTTTGTATTGAAAGTATTTAAGTTTGTTTGTAATGTGTACCATCTACTGTATGCCTGTGTCTTCTGCTGTTCAGAATTGGTTTTATTTTCTTTCTGAAGTTGTTCTTTTATATGTTGATTCCTTAGTGTAGGTTTTTTGTGGTGTGAAGTGTGGTTGTTGGTTGCAGAATGCAAATGCCCGATACTATCTAGTTAAAGTGCTCCTGGAAAATTATCAAATCTTAGTTTTGAATTTAACCAAATTGTGTTTCTTCTTTGTGATTTTCAGGCTACAAAAATATTTATTGAAACTGTGAACAATCTTCGTCAAAAAGTTCGGACTACTCCTGTCACATGGTCTGTAGCAACTAAATTTCTAGCAGCACGTAAATGGGATGTTGGACGAGCTGTAACACTTTATGAAGCCCATGAAGCTACTAGATTAAGGGAGGGACTCCTGAACTTTGACCCAACTCAAGATCCATTGAAAAGTGAGCTGAGTACAGGAAAATTCACAGTTTTGGTGAGTCTTGAGTTGACTTGTACAGGCTCTGTTAATGATGTAACCATTTCTCATTTAATTAGTTCTGATTTATTACAGCCAACTCGGGACCAAAACGGTGCTGCCATAGCAGTTTTTACTGCCAGAATACATTCTCCTCTGGAATCTTCACATCAGACAACTTTGCAGGTAGCAATATTTTCTACCTCACCTTACCCAAATCTTTCAAAACAAGTAGTTCTTACAAATGTTAAATTTGTTTTACACATAGATTTACTTTTCTGTTCTAGGGTGTGGTGTATCAGTTAGATGTGGCACTTGAGAGTATTGAAACTCAACGATATGGCTTGGTGTTCATTTATGATATGTCAGATTCCAAATACTCAAACTTTGATTATGAACTCAGTCAGAAAATCCTTACGCTGTTAAAGGTAGGCAAAATATTTTTTTCTTAATTTAAAGGGGGCTTCAGTATTGAGGTATCTTAGTCTGGTTTTCTTGAAAAAAAAAAATGTTTCAAGTTGAACCTTTATCATTTTGGAGATTGTACATGCCAAGTATTAAAAGGTCCAGAAATGTACAACATTAACAATAGGAGCGGGTCTACCTAGATACCTCATTCATAGTCCTCTACCAGAACATTCGCTTGTTGCCGCCGTCGCATCCTCGTCTGTTCGTTCGTGGTCACTTCGGCCGAGGTTTTCCTCGGTTCGGTCGATCTCGGGACCCTAACCAGGCTGGGTAGTGTGAAATTTCCCAGTCGCGTTTTGTCATTCCCTGCCTGTTATTTTTCTATGTTTCCTGTTGCGCTTCTCGTCCGGATTCCTGTACTTGGTCGTCATTTGTACGGCAGGCAGTTAAACCTGTTCATTTGTCGAAACCTTATGAGAGTCTCGTGGGTTGTGGGCGTCGGGAGGTAATCCGTCTGGCAACACTGGCGCGGTCCTCCCTGCAGCGGGTTATCGAGCGACAGAGGGTTGGGGAGGGTGAGGGGTGGGGGTGCGAGCGGCTCGGCGTCTCGCGCACCCCCAGTGCTTCGCGGATCGCGCTCCCCTCTCCGCCCTGCGCGGCCTCGCCACCCCTTCCCCCTCCTCTCGGTGGCTCAGTCTCCATCGATCGAATTGCTGCAGGTGCCGCCGCTGTCGCTCTAGTAGCAGCAGTGGCATTGCGCGGAGCTTGACCGTCTCTCGCGAGTTTCTGTCTTGCTGGCCTCCGACGAGCCCTTCCTCTCGTCGAGGAGGTTCCACCGGCCCGCTTTCAAGGTAGTTTCTGGTCGTGGATCCCGCGGGGTCGCGGCGGGGTCGCCCCATGGTCGCGCGGTGCGAGCTTGAGGACGCTTAGAGCGCCGCCCTGCTGGCCGCCGCGGCCACGGCTCGCCCGTCTCGCTTCTCTCCTCTCCTCGCGCTGCACCGGGATAATTTTAAACAACTGTGACTGCGCGGCACTTGGCGGGGCCCAGGCCGACCAGGCCGGTGGCGGTCGGTGAGCCTCCGCGCCCCGCCCCGCCGAGTGCGTACGTCGTGGGCCACATGCCTGCCCGCGGGTAGCTGGGCCGAGCAGCTGTCTGCTTGGCGTGAAGGGCATGCCGTGGGCGCCGGCCTCAGTACGGCGGCGACTCCCTGTGTCCCAGGGTCGGCCGTTGGGCCCTTGGGTAGTCGCACGGGGGGTTGGGGTTGGATTTGGGCTGGCAAGGAATTCGCCCAGCTCTCACAAAATGATGTGTTCCCTAGTCCTCAATAGCAAGGGCTTCATGTACACTGCTCCATTTAGTAATGGAATTCCTTTTGGTCTGACTCTGCTTAACACCTTTTTTTTAAATACACGTTTATATCGGAGATACTCCACACCTTTCTTATTCACTTGTAGGGTGTGATTTCACAACAATAATATTTTTATTTTCAGGGAGGATATCCTGCCAAGTTAAAGAAAGTCCTCATTGTGACTGCACCGCTATGGTTTAAAGCTCCATTTAAAATCCTTAGATTGTTTGTTAGAGAAAAGCTTCGGGACAGAGTTTTCACAATAAGTGTTCCTCAGGTGAGCACAAAATCACATGTGCCAATTTATTTACACTTCTAGGATTTCAGCCATTTTCATTGCAGGTATTTGTACTGTATATGGTTTTAATATTCTGTGCACTTTTCAGTTGACATCTCATATACCTCGAGAGTCACTCCCTGTGAAACTGGGTGGTACAGTGGAAGTGGATCATGCAGCTTGGTTGCTTAAGTGTCTTCGCTCCATGACTAACCGAGAGCAGCACGGTGATGGAACAGGGGAAGGGGCTGGCCCACAGTGTGTCCTGTCTAGTGATGGAGCAGACCTGACTTCGTCTTCATCTTCCCTTTCCCTGTCTGTTTCATCAAGTGTTGCAGCAGCAACTGATGCAGCCAAAGCCTTAATTGGAAACGGCATGGCTGGCTCAGGGTCACAAGCAGCACAGGTAATTTAAAATTCAATCCCTAAGAATATTTAAACCAAAAAACATGTATTTTACATCTGTTTGTTGTGTTTTTTTCTTAGGACAAAGAAACAGCCACCACAAATGGCAATGCCCAACAAAAGCAAATGGATTGTGGTGGATTTGGGTCAGGTGGTGATGAAGATGATGAAGATGATGCTGAGGTAGCATCTGCTAGTCTCTGTAACAATCCTCAGACTTGGGACCATGACAATGCAGGTGTGAATGGAGGTAGAGCTATAGAATACTGGTGTGCTTCTCTGCTTATATCCACAAATCACTATCTAACAATCATCATTTTCTGTACAACTTCAGAAGCATCATCTCCCGCACCACCTTCTTCCGCCAGTAGTGGTTTCTCCTCTGAGGACAGTTTGCACTGCGATATAAGTAGTGGTATGAAAATTGAAGAATTTGTGGAATATGTTCGAAATAAGGGACATTCTGAACTTGTTGCTGAGTATGTTGAAATTAAGCTTCGCGAAGCTGATGGATCATTTAATCATGCAAGGTGGGCACTTTATTTTTAATAAAACATTGGTTTTCCTTACATTGTACTTAACACTAATGATCAATATGTTTCAGACTGCGTCCCAATGCACCGAAAAATCGTTATTCCGACGTATTATGCTTTGATCATAGTAGGGTACTACTTTCTCAAATTGATGATGATACTTGCAGCGATTATATCAATGCAAATTTTGTTGATGGATACAAGCAGAAAAATGCTTTTATTTCAACTCAAGGTTAGTTACAAAAAGTTTTTTTTTTTTTTTTTTTTTTTTTCATCCTGACATAAATTGACTTAACACACCCTTCCATGATTAACCATGTATTCTTTGCAGGTCCTCTCCCTAAAACATCTACTGACTTTTGGCGCATGATTTGGGAGCAGCAGGTTCTGGTTGTTGTAATGACCACTCGGGTTGTTGAAAGGGGGAGAACCAAGTGTGGGCAATACTGGTCCCCAGATGAAGGGGGATCACTCACTTTTGGTGATTTTGAAGTGACAACTGATTCTTTGGAGCAGAATGAAGATTACACTGTTACCTCTCTAACTCTTACCAACACTAAGGTATGTGTCCATTTTCTGATCCTTCCATAATTTTTTGTGGTTCTGTTTTGGCTGTGTGTCTAATTCTTCAATCATTTTTAGACGGAAGAATGTCGGACAGTTAGCCATATGCAGTTTACCTCCTGGCCGGACTATGGAGTTCCTCAGTCAGCTCAGGCAATGCTGGAATTCCTTGACAGAGTCAGGTGTCAGCAGGCTACAATGGTAGCTGATTTAGGGGATACATGGGCTGGACATCCGAAAGGACCACCAATTATTGTACATTGCTCTGCGGGAATTGGACGAACAGGTATGTGATTTGTTTCAAAATCTTACTCTAATTTGTCATGGTAGAAATTTGTGAAAGTATATATTACCAAATGTGCTGTGATCCTCTAAATTTATTCCTCTTGTTTCAGGAACATTTTGTACTCTAGATATCTGCATAGCCCGACTTGAAGATGTAGGTACTGTGGATGTTCGAGGCACTGTTGAGCGAATCAGATCACAAAGAGCATTTTCCATACAAATGCCAGATCAATATGTTTTCTGCCATCTGGCTCTCATTGAATATGCTTCGTTAAAAGGACTTATCTCCAACATTGATCTTGAAGGGTTAGAGAAGTTAAAGGAAGATGATTCAGACTAAAATAAGACCAATCATAGACATTAAGCATAACTAAATGCAAATGGTTTATTTTTGTTCCTGTGAAATTAAACCCTGTGAGAAGTGAAGATCAAGAACCTGGTTAGTGGTTTTATTGAAGTATTTAAATCTGCAAGTATTTAAAGTTTGTGAATATAGGGGTATAGTGCCACTGTGATATTGTATGGCAGTCACTGACTGTAAGCTGGCACTCATGTTGCTGACTCAACCTGTTTCCTTCAGTGTCATTGATATTAATTAAAGAAACTACAGCTGACCCACCGTAATCCCAGAACTGATTTTCAGCAAATTCTTAAGGAAACATGGTGTATTATCAACATTTGTGATGTGAGAGGTTGTGGTGTGGTGTGCATTGTTTTCTACGTGTATCTGGTCAGTGCGAGAATTCAACTTGAAACAGGAGGTATACAGAAGTTTGCCTGATAGTTTTTATTAACTTCTGGTTTTAAAAAAGTGTCAGGAGCATTTCTCTTCTTTTTTCTTTTCTTTTTCTTATTTCCCAGCTGTCTTTTGCATATGTGCGGTGTTAAGCATATCAAAAAGCTTTTGTTTTAATTAAATCATTGCTTGTTTAAATTCTTCTTTTCTAAATCTCATTTCATCTCTTCCTTTTTCCCCCCTTATGCACTAACTATTAAACCTTGTGTTTTCTTGTGATTTCTGTGAAATGTACAATATTTGTTAAGTCACCAGATGGCAATGATATGAGACTTTTGCGTTGTGCTCCCTTGAAAGAGCATCAATTATCCCAGTAGTAAGGAAATAGACTAAATTGTTCTTCCCAATTTTGTAATGAGAACCTTTTTATATCCTGTTAGAATACCTTTAGACCTGTACTACTTTTATTATCAAGGTATGTGACTGAATTAATTGGGATAAATATAAGGTTATTGTATTTTATTTGGTATACGCACTCTTGAGAAAATATGATCTGTTCTTTTAGAATCTCTCAGAGAACACATTTCTTTCACTGTTATTATTGAGGTAGTGTAACCTAACTTATCAGTAACAATTGAAATAAAGAAATTGACCATCATCTGTTTGGTCATAACTTATCTTGTTACAAAGTTATGAGGCTTTAGTGAAAGTCATTGTAGTAACTTCCTATTTTGAAATTAGCCATAACCAGTGTGTGAGGATTTCTTGTTGAGGTAAAGTGCAAAGTGCTTTTCAATTCTTCTTATCTAAAGTGCTTGCGAACAAACTAAAATTTGTGTATTTCAGTGAAAGTGTGCTGGTACAAAATCATGTATGTATGATGTTTTAAATGAAACTTCAGTTTAAAAGATACACCTATGGAAAACTGAAGTTTGGTTTAAGAACATAGTTCCCAAGCCATATTTTTATTGGAGTTTTACTGTATTGAGAAACACTTCAGCATTGACTGAAAAGAAAAGATTGGTGTTCCTGGGTTCTTGTGTGCAAATCTGGTTTAATCGTGAAATTAGGAATAATTTTACCAAAAAGTTTTCTTTTTTCATGGGGATGTATAATTTCCCATCTCTTGAAACACCAAGATACTTTTGAAAACCTGTAGCACCTCACATATTTACCAAGCATCTGATTTAAGTTGCTTCATGACAAGGATGATGCCTCCTGTTATTTTAGTACACTTGGCTTCCAATGTGTGTAGAAGTAACCCTAATCCTTGACTATGGTCATGTTTTTGTCATGCTGTTCCTTACCTCAAGCTTTGTGAATTGTATATGGCTGAATTTGAGTGTAAATTTAAACCAAAGAAATGTAGATTCAGTATTTTGATTGGCATTTGACTGAAGTTGAGCTATTTTATTGTTGTTTTTAATTTTAGTTTTTATTTTTTGTTTTCATTTTGGTCAAGATTTAGGGCTACCATGTTTCCACCTCTAAAGAGAGCAGCAGCTAAACATTTTCTTCACTAATCAAACTAATCAATTGTATTTAAAATGTCATGGACTTAAACCAACAAGATTAAATTAATAAATTAAAGTTTCTTTCCTACACAGCTACTTTTTGTAGAAGGCAGCTGTTGCCTTACATTTTTAACTTAGTCTGATATTTGTTGGAAGGATGATTTAAAATTATTTTCCTAGTAGCTGTGTTTTTTTCTTACATCTATATGGGTGGCTGCATGTAACTCTATGTGTGCAGCTGTTCCAGAATATATTTGTTGTTGTTATTTTTACTTCTATAATTCAGTTAGAATGTTTGACTGCTACTGCAACTAACTGCCCATGTTTCTAATGCTACTCTTTATACGAACCATCCTTCTATATATAACGGTGATAATCAATTTTGAACACCTTATAGAAATTGTGATATTGAACTCATGTTTATAATTTGTATCTATGCTTTGTGATGTACTGATTACTTAGGTTACGATCGGTGCAAATTTTTGCCACAGACTTTCACAACATTCATGTCTCTTATCATGCTTTGTCATCAGAGTTTTCAGAGTAACACGTGTTTCAGTTTCGTTGTGCTGCTCTTGTCATTTAATTAGCACCAAACTCATTTTAATGTCTCATTTTCATTATGTTAGTAACTGTCTTACCATTACGCAGATGCAGCCTATTCCTGTAAACTGCACTGACTGGATATGCGTGGGAATATATTTCAGTTCCATCTTGTTTTCTTTTTCTATTATAAATAGATGTCGGAATTATTTTATTTAAATGTGTATATATTAAGAATTAATATATATTAATTACATACTGCGCCCGTTTCCATCAATTTCTCTCCTACCTCCCAAACCCAGTAACACTGAAGTTGGCTGCTCCATAATACACAATTGGCGAACGTGGATTCAGACCGCCGCGTCGGGGATGTTGGACTTGACGTCTTAAGTGCAAGGGCGCGGCTCACTCGGGTGTCCGCGTCGATCAGTGTCAGACGGCGAGGAAGAGGAAGGAAGGGCGTGTTGTGCGGGCGGACTGGAGGGCGGGAGGGAAGGTCTGCGCCGGGGTCGCGCTGCACAAAGTGTACGGACTACGGAATCCATTCTGTAGTACGCTGTGGCGCGCTAGCGCGCTGCGCTGGCGCGGTGAAAGGTGGAGGGGCTGGGCGCGGCCGCGGGTGGGTGGGTGGAGGGGGAGAGACTCGCGGTGCGGCGCGCCGGCCGCGGCCGCTCGCTCGGCCCGTCCCGTCCCGTCCCCGTCAGTCTGTGGGTTGGCAGCGGGTCGGTCGTACGCGTGCTCAGCGAGTCCGTGTCCGTGTCTGTGCGTATCGCGTGCGAGCGAGTTGTGGCCTTGGTGCGAGTGTTTGCTATCCGAGCGCCGGAGCAGGCGGAGCAGGCCGGGTGCAAAGTCCCGCCGCGCCGGGCTACGCCGGGCTCCCCGAGGCTCCGCGCCCAGCGTGCGTGCAGCTGTGTTGTGATTGACCTCAGTGCATGGATGAGGTGGTGAAGTGATTCGTCAGTGCGATGCTCAAGAACATGCCCCTGTTTAACAAGCGGAGCTCCAAGAAGGAGTCCGACGCCGTGCCCGTGCTGGGTGACACCAACGGGCACAGCAACGGGGACGTTGGTGACGGCGGCGGCCGCTGGTCGGGCGCGGGGGCGGAGCGCGACCTGGTGCACGGCAGCCCCAACAGCAGGTCGCCCGGGCCGCAGCGGCCACCCCTCGTGTTCCACTGCCAGCAGGCTCACGGCTCGCCCACCGGCCTCATCTGTGGATTTTCCACCGTCAGGGAGCTCTATCAGAAGATCTCCGAGTGCTACGACTTCCTCCCGGACGATGTGAGTCTTGGGCTGGGCTGTGACCCCGGTAGCAGGCGCCCTGCTGTCATCGGCGGAAGCCTATCGGTCTTTTGAGGCCTGGCGGTCCCCATGACCACGACAGGCCAGTCTCTTGTCCTGACGGCCCGGAGGGTGGGTGTGAGTAAAGCTTGCAACGGGACCCAAGTCCCTAGATCCCCTTCGACGGGCAGGCGTCTTCTAGAGCTGACGCTATCTTTGCAAACCCCGAGGCTGGCGCGAGGAGCGCCCGTAGCTCTCGAGGCGCGCCATAGGAAGTCCTAGGCGGAGCCGGCCGGGGCATTCCCCCCTGGCACTGGCCACACCGACTGCAGCCCCCCGCGGCCCGCCTCGCCGCGGCGCCGCGTCCACACCGGCTGGAGCAGCTTCTCTGCCGTCTCCGCGCATCATCCCGTACCCGGTCGGGTCACAGGACGGCGGCCCGCGGCCCGGCCCTGCCGGCCAGAGAGCACTCGCACCCGCGTGCGAGGATTAGAGAGGTGTTTGGCTTGTCAGCGCCCGCGGTGACGTACAGCTGGCAACAACGTACCGCGGCCGCGGAACAGAGCAGAGGCCGTGCCGGTGTGGCGCCGCGGGGCATACAGACCGCGCCGAACTGGAGCAGGCGGGGCGGG